CTTCGATATCCAATGGAATGCACACACAAAACACATGAAAGGCTCCAACCTCTATCATGCTTGATCAAGAGGCAAGGGATGCATGCACAATGTAATGCAACCTAAGCATGCAAGCAAGGCTAATGCAACATGATTATGCAATGCATCTAATATGCAATAGGCACACAACCTAAACATGTAAGCATACATGGCATACAACAGAATACGATGATGGACTTAAACTAACATGGATAGCTCGCAAGCATGCCAAAATCAGTGGCCATTAGATGAAAATGAGACAATCGAAATGCGTGCACACATGCACGCAAACCGGGGACCGAACCTAAGGTATAAAATGCGACTCTACCAAGGCATGGAAATGGATGAAATATGGCATATAAACATATGATTTCAGAACTGAAACATGATGCTAAACAGCCCCAAAACATGGAAAAATGGCACTCGATGCATGAGATGAAACCCGCAACTCGAAACTAGGCACACGAAATGACTTACAGCTATACAAAGCATGCATTATTTGATCATGAAGCATGAAGACAAATGCAATACAGTCCCAAAACATTCATATTTTCAGTTTATAACAAGTCTAAAAAATGAAGACAAATGGGGCTAATCTATCATGCAAAGATGGCCCTAAAAGAGAGATTAGACACCAAGGGACAGCAGCTGGCCTCAAATGGAAAAGAGCCCTTCAACAAAGTTGAAGAGGGGCTCAAAATAAGGTACTTTACAGTTTACATCAAGCCACTAGAATAATCACAAATAAGGCCAAACTATCATGCAAGAAAAGGCCTAAAAGAGGGGTAAAGAGACAAGTGATAGCAGGAGGCCTCAAAAAGAGGAGAGCCTTTCAACAATGTTTAAGAGGGGATCAAAAAAAGTTATTTCACAATTTATGGAAAAGTCAAAAACAACTCACAAGTAAGCCTAAAATACTATGCAAAAATTGGCCTAAAAGAGAGATAAAGAGGCAAGTGGTAGGAGGAGACCTCAAACAGCAGGAGGTCCTTGATCAAACATGAAAAGGGGCTCAAAATAAGACTATTAACAGTTTGTGTCGGAGTCCAAAAATGTAAGCAACAAAGACTAAGAAAGCATGCAAAATAGAGCTAAAAGGGAGGGAAAAGAGACTTACCCTTGTAGCCTAAGTCTTCAACAACTTTTGATCCAAGAAATGGTGCTCCTAGCCTCTGGAAATCAGCTTCAAAGGGCTGGAATGGAGGGTGGAGGTGTGGTGCTATGAGTGGTAGTGTAAAGGGGGCAAGGGCCTTAGGGTTTGAAGGGTTTGGGAGAGAGAGATAGGGAGAGAGCTAAAAAATTTTAGAGAGAGAGGAAAATTTTCTTTCTCCAAGTTGTATCTCTCTTTTTTTCTTCTCTCCTTTTGTGTCTCCTTCTCTTTTTTTCAAGAAGCTTGATTGATATAGAGATATATCAATCTGCAGCTCCTCAGAGCTCCCACGTCCAGGCATGGGCTGGGGTATGGCCTATAATGACAGCTACCAGCTGTCTACAGAAATATCTGTTGAAAATCACACTTGGCCGGCCAGCCATCAAAGTGGCTGACCGGCAGTCAAAATGGCCGCCCGGCCATCATATTTGGCCGATGGCAACATAACATAGCCGGTGGCCTCAAGCCATGGCCGGTGGAGTGTGGGGATGTGCCAAAAGCCATTCCTTGCCCTCCAAAGCAAAAACACAAGTGTTTGGTGCAAAACCAGACACAAAACGATCGAGTCGAGAGATCTTGAGGCAAGGCGCGTAGCCGAGGCCTCCGGGAACTCAAGACGAACACAAAACATGGATGATCACCGAATGTTCAAGCGGTGACGTCCAAGTCTTGAGGACGGTCAAAAATGGGATGTTTACAGTGTCCTCCTCCTGGTCTTTCCCATTTCCCTGGCCAAGTTTGTCGTCTTCGGCGTGCTCTGTATAGTCTGAAGCAGTCTTCTCGTGTTTGGTATGATCGCTTTCAAACTGCTGTTACCGAGCTTGGGTTTCATTGTTCTGCTTCCGACTCTGCTTTATTTCTGAGACATATATCGGCTGGTTTTGTTGCTCTCTTACTCTATGTGGATGATATGATCATCACTGACTCTGACTCTTCTGCTATCTCTGAGGTCAAGCAACATCTCTTCCGTACCTTTAAAATGAAAGATCTGGTTCCATTACGGTATTTTCTTGGTATTGAAGTTGTTTCTTCTCCAAAGGGTTATTTTCTGTCTCAGGCTAAGTATGCTAATGAAGTCATTCACCGTGCTAGTCTTACCGATACTAAGATTTCTGATACACTTATTGAGCTTAATGTGAAGCTTAATTCTACTGATGGTGTCCCTCTGGATGATCCTACTTCATATCGCGAGCTTGTGGGTTGTTAGTTTATCTGACGGTCACTCGCCCTGATCTTGCTTATGTTGTTCATGTGGTTAGTCAGTTCGTTTTTGCTCCTCGCTCTACCCATTGGGCTACTTTGGTTCGCATTCTTCGCTATCTCAGGGGTACCATATTTCAAGGCTTACTATTGTCCTCTACTTCCTCTTTGGACCTGGTGGCTTATGCTGACTCTGATTGGGCTGGTGATGTTACTGATCGCAAGTCTATATCTGGTTTCTATATGTTTCTTGGTGATTCCTTGATCTCTTGAAAAAGTAAGAAACAATCAGTCGTTGCCCGCTCTACTGCCGAAGCTGAGTATCGTGCTATGGCTCATGCCACTGCTGAGATTGTTTGGCTTCGTTGTCTTTTGTCTGATTTGGGTGTCTCTCAGTCTTCTCCGACCTTTCTCTATTGTGACAACCGCAGTGCTGTTCAGATTGCCCACAATACTGTCTTCCATGAGCGGACAAAACACATTGAGATTAATTGTCACTTTGTTCGCCAACATCTGCAGTCTGCCTCTATCTCACTTCCTTTCATCCCTTTAGCTTTGCAACTTGTGGACTTCTTCACCAAGACTCACACTACTGCTCGGTTTCAGTTTCTTCTTAGCAAACTCTCCGTGTTTTCTGGTAAAACGCCTTGAGTTTGAGCAGGGGTGTGAGAATATATTGTGAAATATATTGTGAGTCTTACAAATTAAACTTAGAGTCCTATTAGAGGCATGATTGTATTAGAGTCATGATAGTGTTGTATTTGTATTTCCTTTTTGGTTTAGGAGTTAGGGCTATATATATTCTAAGGTCTGATTGTAATTGATACACATTGAATATATGAGATACAGAAAGCTATTCAGAAATCTTACACCAACTTGGACACACTCAGCTCGATAACTGGTTTATTATCGCTCTCCACATGGACTTGAAAGAGATCGAGGGTTGAGGACAAGGCGTATGCCAGTCGAACCGTTGATGCTTCCCCTTGGATTGTAGAAGATGATTGAATAATAAAGGTAATACCATCTCTCAGATATCCATTCCAATCCCGAAGAACCACGACTAAGGAAGTCCTATGACCGCCCGTTGCGAAACTAACATCACAGTTAATCTTGAACTGCCCTTAAGGATGAGAGATCCATCTCGGAGGTGCCACCGGCCCCTCAGGTATGACAGGATGCCTTGGAGAGGGCTGGTTCAAGGTGAGGAGCTCCTTCCATGGGGATGTAGCAAGACTCAACGTAAGAGAGTGATTTGAACTTTACAGACAATTGCCTTAAGTACCATTGCTGCAGTTGTGATAGAATGTTATGTGCAAATTGTGCATGGGGTTATGGTTCTTTGGGTGTTGTTTCGGGCAGTACAAAAAGCACTGTAGATGATGGGGTTGATATCAAGTTTTGCAAATTTTGTTCCGAGATTGGTTTTAGGAATGAACGGGGCAAAAAGTATAGTGGTAAGATCTATCCTTCAGAGTCTTCCCGACAAAGTCCTGAACCAACATCACGTTGTTTGAGTAGTGAAAAGTTGGATGGTTATTGCCCAAATTCTGTGACCAGAAGCAATCTTTCTTCATTTTATCTAAGCCTTTGAGAAGTGAAATTTTGTTTTTTAAACTATTGAATGCCTTTGGACAAAAATGAGTTTTTTTATACTATTGAATGCCTATTGCCAATCCACCTACCTTCTTTTACTTGGGAAATAGAATTATGAAATTATTAAAAGTTGTGGACCTAAGACTCTTGCCCACAAAATTAACAATTCTTTCAATTGGTATGTTTATATATAAAAAATTTGAAAATGTTTTGGATAATTTAAGTTTTGAAATGACAATTAGATGACATGTTACTTACCATGGTGTCCTAGTTTCATGTTTGGGTAAAATGTGTTTTTCATTCTAATCTTTTAGGAAAAATCTATTAAAACTAGCAGTGAGTAGGGTTGCAAATGAATAGAGTCATTTGTGGACAAGCTTGAGTTCGGCTCGATAAGAGCTCGTTCGAACTCGATTTGTTAAATTTATTTATTTATTTATTTTTTTGCGTTTGACCTCAAGCTCAAACTCGTTAAATTTTTAATAAACAACTTGTGAGAAGAAGAGTAAGAACTTTGATAATTAATTATAAATAGTTTGTAAACCACAAGCATAATGAGTACTTCATTGTCACATAGCTGCAAAAATTTGGCATAATGATGTAATTCATTGTCTTAGATTAATTTAATGTTTTAAATTTTGTTTCAACTTTACTAATTCTTTTTCTTATTCTATGTTGTAGGAGCGCGGAATACTTAAATGCTTAAATCATGGTTTTAAAGTTAGTGAATGGTCATTCAAATTGGAAGAAAAGAAACAGTCCAAATTTCATGGTTTCTTTATGAATTTAGGGCTGATTTCTTTAGTATGTTGCTCATACAAATTTGTAAACAAAGTTGTATTTTTAGCCTTTGTGGAAAGATAGCAACCGGAGACAAACACGTTTCATCTACCATTTGGTGAGATGTCACCAACCTTATATGACATTAGTGTAATTTTTTGCCCTTCAACAGAAGAGGACATTCACATTTTTTGGTACCAGTCAGTTTTGTTTTTTTTTTTTTTGTCTTAGGTCTATTGTTTTTTCGAGTGTCCCTATAAGATCCACTCCTCTCACAAACTAAGTCTTGGCTTCCTACCATGGATACCACCCCCATTTGATTTTTGCATGATAATAACGAATTCATTTCTTCTCCCAACTTCAAGAGTCCATCGAATTAACTTATCTTGACTCTTGAATATCTCAAATAAATAACTTAAATTAATCAATTATTGCACATAAAAAAGGACAAAAAAGGTACATTGTTTGTAAAATAATCAAAGATTTAGATTATGAGTGATAAATTCATTATTATAATCTATTACATATTCTGAATCAACCTTAAAGTCTCTAGTCAAAGCATCATCCTGAAAACACATGTGAATGTAATTTCAAAATTGAAAAAATATGTTCGGTTGAACAGTGTCGAAACTAATAGTTTTATTCAGTTTAACAGTGCCGAAAATAAGGTCACGTTCGGTTCAATAATACCGACTATCTGCATTACTGTTTAAAACTCATAAATTGCACTAAATGTTTGTGTTCAGTACTGTGTTACCGAACATAATGTTAATAGTCAGCAAACCAGTACCGAATAGCTCGAACAAATTAATAATTATTGAAAACAACCAAGAATGTTAATGCAAGACAAATAAACTTACCAATGGAATGTCAGTCTCATCAGAATTGTTGTCATCGTCATCCATTGCTCTATAAAGTGAAATAACTGATGAAGAGTAATACTTGGACATGAAAAGAGCTTTCTATTCAAAGTTTCTAGTTCAAGAGAGTTTATGATGGTAATGAAGAGACATTTTGTGTTTGGTAACGTTTACGTTTTCAGTTTATATTTACAAAAATTTTATAAACTGATTTTTATTTTTTTTTAGAAAAACATAAACTACAAACGTGTTTGGTAATTGACAAAATGTTTAAAAAAATTTAAAAATATAAAAGAGAGTGAGAAATAGCAAGTGGTGGCGGAAGACGGTGGTGGAAAGTGGTGACGGTGGTGGTAGGTAGTGGTGGGTGGGTGGGTGGGTGACGGTGGCGGGTGGTGGGTGGTAGCGAGTGCAAAAAGTAAAGAGAAACAAAATTTTTTGACTTTTTGATATAAGTTATTAACTTTTTAATTTTTTTAATAATTCTTTAACTTTTAAACTAAAAAGTGATGTTACTAAGTAATGAAATTGGAAAGAAATAAACTAATTAGTACCTTTTATAATATCATAATTACCGTTTACATATATTGAAGAAATTTAAAAAGTGACCCTTATAAAAAGTTATTTTAACAATATAACATGAAACCAATTTTTTTTTTTTACTTTCCTTTTAGGGTTTTTTTTTTATTTTTTTATTTTTAATTTTTATTTTTTTCACGGCGAGCAAAGATAGTTTTATTAACTCCGAGAAAGATACAAAACAGTTTGAAAAAAAAGTTGTATCTCAACTGTATTGACACCTAAAACTAGATTAATCATGTGCATCTCCAAAGTTCTCAATAAAGGTTAGACAGATTTCAACTCAAATCCCACCAGACACCAGCAAACCCACAGACTATACTTGACCTCCCAAACAAAATGTGAGAGATTCCCTTATTTATCCAAACAGAAGGCAAACTTTTTTTTTTATTTATTTTTATTTATTTTTTATTTTTTATGTAATCATTTTTTTTTTCCGTCTCTGCTATGTTTCCAAAACAGAGTGTAAGGTGAAAGTGAGTGAATGGTTAAGGCAAGTGACGATGAACTTGATGCTACGGGTGATTGCGGGGAAGAGATACAGCTTCGGTGACAGCGAGAGACACAAGGAGGCAAGGCAGTTCGCGAGAACGATGGACGAGTTCATGTATTTGGCTGGTGTTTCTGAGTGTTCGGATGTGATTCCCGGGATTGAATGGTTGGATTTGCAGGGTAATGTGAAGGCTATGAAGAGGAATGGGGGTGGTGGTGGCGGAAGACGGTGGTGGAAAATGGTGGCGGGTGGTGGCTAGTGTTGGGTGGTAAAAAAAAAAAAAAAACTGAAAACTCAAAATGGAAACACATTTTTTGTGTTTTCATTTTTTGGCCAAATTTATAAACTGAGACCACTGATTTATAAATCAAAAATTTTACTAAACAAGTTTTTATTTTAATTTTTAAAATTTTTGTAAATACAAACAGAAAACTGAAAACGTAGTGTTACCAAACGGCATCTTAGCGTTTAAAATAGTTATGAAGAGTAACAGATTTAAAGTTTGTATAGATTGGTGATGAAGAGTAACATGTTTAGGGTTTAGAAAGGTAGAATGCATAAAGGTGGGGGTGGGAGTAGAGTGTTAGTTCTTATTTGGTAGGTGGATATTCCATTAAATGATATTTTTTAATGTAATTTTATTTTAATGTATAATTGTAATTAAAAAAAGTAAAAATTGAAAAATCCAAAGAATTTAGATAAGTGCTAATAGCAGAATAAAAAAAATAAAAAAATGCTATATTGGCTATTGGCAAGACATAGGAGGAAAAATTGTTTTCTCACTTCACTACAGACCATATACATCAAAATTTGCTTATTTTAGCCGAGAATCATTTTTGCATTAGGAATAATAATAATAAAAAAGAAGAAGTTCTGTTACTAATTTTTTTGAAGGAATTTAAACCGGTGCATTTTTATTTTAAAGAGAATGATTAGTGTGTGCACTCTTTTAGATGGTGTGTATA